AGGAGTTTACATACTAAAAATATGTATAGAACATATGTATATAATTGTCTATAAGGGTCCATATAATACACATAAATAGATATTAAATATAATATATAAATTAGATCTACAAATATGTGTATAATACAAGATGCACACATTAAATGGAAGATCATCTTTCTCAGAGGGAAGATGCTCTGGGGGCCAGGGATAGGACAAGGGGAAAAGACAGAAGGTGGGATTTGAATTGAGTCTTTTTTTTTTTTTGGCTAGGCAATGGGGTTAAGTGACTTGCCCAGGGTCACACAGCTAGTATGAATTGAGTCTTAAAGACAGCCAGACATGCCAGAAAGCAGAAGAGAGGTGAGAGCAGTTTAGGCACTGAGTGGAGAGACTGAGTGTTCTATGCAAATTAGCCCCTTCTTATCTCCTAATCCCTCAGAATTTCCCAGCTCAGATTCTCTGCTCCAACTACTGAGTGGGCCATGGACTCAGCTCTAGTCCATACCTCAATTTCTCATGCCCTCCAACTTCCCTGATTAGAAGTCTGTTTTCCCCTTCTTTCCAACTCCCAACCCTGTTCTTGCCGCTTTATCTCAACTGTACTCTCCATTTCCCTCCTTGAAGAAATCCTCCCTTATCCCCTCCCTCTCTTCCCCCACTCCTGGTCCATAGGGGGAAATTCATTCATATGCCTTTGTCTGCTGGTCCCTCTCTGTGTCCCTGGAGTGCACCCCATCTGCCTATGACAGAAGTCCACAAGAGACCATGTTTGAGGGGTTTGAACCTGGAGGGAAGCAACGAGTGGTGATATCATAGAGTCAAGGGATTCTAGCTCTTTGAAGAGGCTTAGAGAAGCAATAGCTAACAAAGAGGTGACTGCTTTAGGGTCTCTGGATTTTTTTTTCATAACTTCTTTTTGCAGTCCCTGCCCCCTCCCTCTGCCTTTCCCTGCTGCTCCTCTCCTCCCACCAGCCTTTGGAATCTGGGGTCTCCCCCACATTCCTTGGCTCTCCTTCCTTTTTTCCATGGCTTTGTCACTCTCCCTCCATAAACTAACTTCTCTATCTAACTCCCAATCTTCCTCTTTCCTTGACTAGCAGTCCCCTGTCCCAGCCTCCACCCTGACTTTAAAGCTACTATTGCCTCTCCTGATATGGAAAAAAAAATCCTCATCCTTTTCCTACTTCCCATCCCTGGGATCGGACATGCCAGTCATTCCTGTTTGGGATGGTAGGGGAGATAATAATTGACGTATAGCCTGGACCCAAACCCTGGGAGATCTCAAAGCACTTTTTAAATAGGAGTGTTGTCCTCAACCCCTTAATCACTAATGATCTCTTCGTGTTGGGACCCTATCTCCCTTTTACATCAGAATATCATTTCCTACTGTCTGGGATAGTTAAGCCAATGACTGGAGCAACAGAGCGAAAAAGGCCAAAGGCTGTAGGCTTAGTCTGTCTAGAACAGGTAGCTTTGCTCTGTTTCCTGGACACAGTTTGCACTGTGGTCACTATGTCACATGGGGAACTGGGCTCAGTGCCATCATAATAACGGACATTTTAAAAGGCATTTCAAGGTTTGCAATTATCTCATCTAAGCCTTATAACAACCTTAATAAGGGATGTGTTCGAAGTCTGATTGTCCCCATTTTACAGATAAAGAAATTGAGGTGTAGGGAGGTTAAGTAACTTATTTACCCAAGTTCACCCAGGTAGTAAGTTTCTGAGGCAGTATTTAAATCCAGGTCTTCTCAACTCTCTGGCCCAGCACTCCATCCACTATGCCATGCTTCCAATTTTAATTACCTCATCCTGCATAAACATTTCTTTGCAACAACATTGCAGAAACAACTTAGAGAAAACTTGAATATTCTGAACAAGGCAATGATCAGCCACCATTCCAGTAGACCTATGGTGATCTATGTTTCGTCCTCCTTCCTGAGAGAGGTGATAGACTCAAGAAGCAAAATGAAACCTACATTTTTGGATATGGATAATGTGGGGGTTTGTTTTTGCTTGACTATGCATTGCTGTTTTGTTTTAATTTTTTTTCAGTAGGAGGGAGAAGGTGAGAAGGAGAGAGGGATTGGAGTAGGGTTTTCTATCTGAGAAAGACAGAGAGAGAGAGAGAGAGAGAGAGAGAGAGAGAGAGAGAGAGAGAGAGAGAGAGAGAGAGAGAAACAGAAGGAAAGCCAGAAGGAATTACAGACCAGAAAGATAACTTTAAACGTTACATGATGAATTTTTATTTGCTTAAAAATAAAAGCAAGCTCTACATAATAAAAACTCAGTTGCATGTACAATTCTCATCTTCTGTTCCACAAGGAAATACAAAATAAAAAAAAGAACCCTTTCTCTAGACCCTCTCCTATCTCCAGCCCTCATCATTCTGATCTTCTTCAGTTTGTTGTAGTTGCTCAGTCATTTTTCAGATGTGTCTGACTCTTTGTGACCCCATTTGGAGTCTTCTTGGCAAAGTTATTGGAGTGGTTTGCCATTTCTTTTTTCACCTCGTTTTATAGATGAGGAAACTGAGGCAAACTTACCCAAGTGAGACTGAATGATTTGCCCAAGGTCACACAGCTATTAAGTGTCTGAGGCCAGATTTGAACTCAGGAAGATGACACTTCCTGACTCCAGGCCCAGAACTCTCTCCACTGTGCCATTTAACTGCCCCTCCTAGTTGTCCCTCCTTCAGTGTAGACACAGTTAATTCAGTGTATCTTTCTGTCTGATAAAGGTGTGCTGCCCTCCTTATTGTATACCTTTAAATGTAGTAGTAGTAATAATAATAATTAGCATTTATTTAATACTTTAAAATTTACAAAGCACTTTACATATATTAGCTTATTTAATCCTCACAATGACCTTGTGAGGTAAGTGTTACTATTTATCTCAACTTTACAGATAATGAAAAATGAGGCAGAAAGGGATTAAGTGATTTGCCAGGGTCACATAACCAGTAACTTATCATTCCAACAACTGGAGATATATCAGTCTCTATGAATTAATAATAATAACATATAGCTGCCTACTATGAACCAGGTACTGTGCTAAGTGCTTTACAACTATTATTTTTTTTGACCCTCATGACAACCCTAGGAGGTAGTTGATATCATTACTTCCATTTTGCAGATGAGGAAACTGAAGCAAACAGAGGCTAAGTGACTCAACCAGGGTCACACAGCTGGTACCTATCTAAGGTTATACTTGAACTCAGGTCTTCCTGAATCCGGAGCCTGCTGCTCCCTCCATCGTGGGTCCTCATAGACTGTAAGGGAATGGATGGTGACTAGTCTTAATAACTTACTCAGGGAGAATTTCCAGTGAGGAGAGGGGACCAGTTAGGAGGTGTTTTAAAAGAGATGGTGAAAGATTGGACATCATCTTTTCCATAGGCAGGGGAACAAATGAGATATCTTCAGGGTCCTTCCCAGCTATCAATGGCCTGTGGTTGATGATTGCTTAGGAGACCCACCCACCTGCATAGAAGCCACCACCCAGTGTCAACAGCGCTCCCTGGCTCAGACTCCCCATCCAGTCCTCAGAGGCTTGGCTAAAGGTCAGAACCCTACAGGATTCAGAGAAAGTCCAGGGTGGGGCTGCCCCCAAAAGATAATGGAATATGGGACAGGGAGGGTGATGGGATCACCCTTTTCAAGAGGGGCTTTTTAAGAAAAGGAGAGAATAAAGGAGCTGGGTTGGATTCAGTGTAGTACTATCTGGTGGCTGCTGAAGGGAAGAAATTACCTCCAGCAGGATTTGGGAAATACGATTAGGTTAGAGGCCTTTAGGATGGTGGGCAGTGGATACCACGCTGGACTTTGAGGTTCAAATCTTGCTTACAGACACTTAATAGCTGTGTGACCCTGAACAAATCATTTGACCCTGTTTGCCTCATTTTCCTCATTTGTCAAATGAGCTAGAGAAGGAAATGGCAAATCAGTACAGTATCTTTGCCAAGAAAACCCCATTGGGGTCAAAGAGAGCCTGACACTGACTGAAGAAAGGACTCAACAACAACCTGGCTGTCACTTCACCTCTGCCTCCGTTTCCTCATCTGTAAAATGGTGTGATAATAGCTCCTACCTTGGAGAGTTAGGAGGATCAAATGAGAGAACACGCAAAAGTACTTAAATGTTTATTATTGTTGTTGTTATTAAAGGAGGCTGAGGATCAAGGACTCCAGTCCACCTAATTCCCAGGTTACTAGACAGAATATCACTAAGGGGGAGTGGGAAATGTAGGTGTGACTTAGTTTCCCCCTGGCTAAAGAGCAGACTGTGAATGCCTCGGTGCTCTGAGATCCTGGAAGATGCTTTGTTAGGGCCCTTCAGGCTTTTTGGTTACTAATTAATGTCGATATTCCTACTGCCATTTATCTGGCATGTTCCGTCCCCCGTTCACTCCCAGAAAGGAGCAAGGCTTGGGACAACTGAACAGCACACCGCGCCTAGAGAAGAGGATGGGTCAGAGATTTCAGCTACCTCATCCAGGATGAAAAGCCAGGAGACAGGCGAGGCTGGGATCCGAACCAGCCCTAAAGCCGGACATTCCTAGCCTGAGAGGAGAGATAACCCCGAGAGGCTCCAGCCGTCTGCTGACCCCTCTCGGAGGGCGCGGAGCCCGAACGCGATCGCTGCGGCAGCACCAATAGCCGCAGCGGCGAGGACGAACCGCAGGACACCTTCCCTCCGCTGCCCTGACCTCCCAATCCGTTGGTCCGGTAGCAACTCCCGGGAGACAGCAGGGTCAGGTCTTAGGGGGTCCCGAACAGGTGGTTAGTGGAGGGCGCCGGATTTGGGGAGGAGGGCGATGAGGGAGGGGCGCAGCTGCCCCTTTAAGAGGTGGCTGCAGAGCCGAGCCCTTCTCCACCCTTTCCCCGGAAGAAAAGCGGAGCCAAGGCCGAGGCGTGCTAGGTGGGGAGGTGCGGAGCTGGGCGTGGGGGAGGCGGGGCCGCGGGACCCCTCCCTCCCGCCCTCCCTCGCTCCCTCCCAGCCGTGATCCGGCCCCCGCAGCCCGAAGCCCGGATCGGGTAGCTAGAGCCGGCAGAGCGAGGAGGGCGCAGCTAGAGCAGAGCCTGAGGGGGGAGAAAGTGGCAGGAGGATAGGGCCAAAGGGTCCATCCGTGCGGGCTGCGGTGACACAGTCCAGAGGAGGGAGGGAAGGGAGGAAGGGGAGGGAAGAGGGGGTGATACTGACCCAGCCGGGGTGGGAGACCCGGCGAGGACAGGGTGTGAAACTGACCAGGGGCACCTGACTGGACTAAGTGGGGCCACCTGACGGGGTTGGACGAGGGACGGTCGGCTACGCTGCAGGCGGCCGCGGGGGAAACAGGTGAATCTGACCCTCCACACGTCCCCCGCGCCCCCAGTATACACCCATCCGCCCCACCGGGTCGGCTGTAGCCATGGACCCAGGCCCCCGCGTCCGCCGTGCCTCTTGTGGCCAGCGCCTGCCCCTCTGCGCCTTGGCGCTGGCGCTGGCAGCTGCGGGCTGTCGCGTAGCCTCCGCCTTCAACCTGGACACCCGGTTCCTGGTGGTGAAGGAGGCCTCGAACCCTGGGAGCCTCTTCGGCTACTCCGTCGCCCTCCACCGGCAGACTGAGCAGCAGCAGCGCTACCTGTGAGTGGGGACAGGGGCTGGGGGTGGCGGGAGACCGGGACATCAAAGAGGGACCTCCAAACATTCCCCTACTCAGCCCGCTTCCTCTGAGCGCTTAGAACGACCTTAGGGTTTAAGGATTTATGGGCCTGAGAGGGGGTAGCTTTGCCGAGACGAGAAGGCTTGAGCTGGGGAAGGAGGGGTGCGGCGGCGGGATCTGCGGTGGGAGGAGAGTAGATAATCCCTAACACGTGCGGGAGCTGCTCCAACCTGCCTCTCCCCTCTAGAAAAATTCTCAGTCTTGAGGCGCAGGCTGGGGGTGGGGTCCTCTTTGTGCCTGGAGACCCTGGAGACTTGCCTAGGAGTGACTGGATTCCTGAACGCTCACCCTCTCTTCTTTCCCCCTCATCCTAAGCACCTAGCTCCTAGCCCCCCGGCTTTGAGAACTTGACTTGAGCCCCCCAGGCGTGGGGAACGGAAAAGGCCTAAGGGAACAGCCATGTGTCAGGAAGAAATCCTCAGCCTGTTGACCCTCTTCGCTGCCCACTCTTTACCTTGTCCTTACATTCCTGACCGCACTAGCCCATATCTTCGGCATGTCCAGGGATAATAGCATCCTCAAATCTAGAAATGAAAGGGACCAAAGAGGAAATCTAGTTTAACCCCCCTCCTTTTACAGAGGAGTAAACTGAGGTTTGCCCAAGATTACCCAAGAAGTAGTAATTGATTCCTCGTGTATACATAGAACCATCATGGCTTACAAAGCAGGTGCCCTTGCTATAGTCACCCTGTGAAGAGAGCATCCATTTATCAGATGAGGTGAAGTGACTTGCTCCAAAAACACTCAGCTAGTACAGTATCTGGATCTGGATTCGAATTTGGATCCTCTGATTCTGAGTTTAGGGCTTTCCTCTCTGATTCGGGATGAATGGACTGGATAGATAGAGGCCTGGAGCGGGAGTGCTACCTTGACCTAACCCATATGCGCCCCCTTGAGGTTCCAGTGGTGGGAAGCATCCCAGTGCTTTCCCACCTTCCAACAGTTAGGAACCCCGCCACCTCCTTCTCCCCAGCATCTTCTCCACATTCCACACATTCATGCTGAATCTTCAGCCCTGAGTGTGTTTGTTTTGGTTTGAAGAGGAAAAATGGTATTTCTTCTCCTATCTCTTCTCTGTATCCCCCCTCCCCCAAACAGCTTCTGAGAAAGAAGGAAGGGGGCAGGGAGGTCAGGGTTCTGGAGGGAGAAGGTGATAACATCCAGCTGTTTGTGTCCTGAGTCCCTTGTTGGATGCAGTGGTGGTAATGTTGACCTACTTATTTATTTATTTATGTATTTGGGTCACACAGCTAGTAAGTGTCATGTGTCTGAGGTCAGATTTGAACTCCAGTCCTCCTGACTCCAAACTAAGAGCTCTATCTACTACGCCATCTAGCTGCCCTGTTGACTTATTTATTACTGGAGGTTGAGTGCTTTGGGATGTTAAGTAGGATACTTGGTGTTCAGTCTTGTTCGACTCTTCATGACCCCTTTTGGGGTTTTCTTGGCAAAGATACTGGTTTGCCATTTCCTTCTTCAGCTTGTTTTACAGATGAGGAAACTGAGGCAAACAGGTGAAGTGACTTGCCCAGGGTCACACAGCTAGTAAGTGTCTGTGGTCACATTTGAATTCAGATCTTCCTGGCTCGAAGCCTGGCACTCTGTTCGCTGCGCTACCTAGCTGCCTCAGCTGGAATACAGGCTGGGTATTTATTTTATTATTTTGTTTTATTTTATCTTGGTGGAGGTGGGCTTGGGCAGGAAGACCTTCTTGAGAGATGGGGGTGATGGGTGTGTCAGGGTGATCAGGTTGGTTGTTAAGGTGGGGGAAGGAAGTAGGAGGGGTTCAAGTTTCTCAGAGCTGAGTGGCCTTAATGAAGAGAGCTCTTAACCTCTACTCCCAGGAAGTAGTGTGGTGGTTGAAGGTAGCTGGGGAATGGCAGCAGAGCACATGGACCCGCCCTGCCTCATCCTAGGCCTATGCCCTCCTGAGAACCTTGGGAAATGGCTAAAGTCCAAACCTTCCTAGCAGCCTTGACCTGGCTGGTAGATCCCAGCTCCATCTGGGGCTTAGCCCTAACTTGGGAAAGGTTGAGGAAGAGTCTGGGCTGCCGAGTTCTCCTCATGACTCTTGGCCTGAAAAGTGATAGGGCCACTTTTCTGTGTTTTCCGAGGGGACTGTCTTTGGAGACCCAGATAAAGCTTCTTCCTTAGTTTATGATATACCAGTGATTCTTCACGTGTGAGGCAGTATAGTTCAATGGCATTCTCCCACTCCTGAGAGTCAGGAGACCTGGATCCTAGTCCTGTCTGTGTGAGCTTGTCTTTTCTCTTTAATTTCCTCTTGTAAAACAAAAGATGTGAACAGACAAGATAATGTTATCCAGTGAAAAGAGCCCTGGTGTTTGTTGGAGAATCCGGGTTCAAATATTGGCTTCGCTAATGCCACTTTATGACCTTAGGCAAGTCACTTAACATCCCTGCCTCAGTTTCCTTATATGTTAAATAAGGGGATTGGATTGGATGGCCTCTGAGAGCCCTTTCAGTTCTAGATCTATGATCATCTGATCTCTGAGGACCCTTCCCCTAGGCTCTGACAGTCGATAACTCCACATACCTTTCCCTGACTCCCAGAGTGGGAATTATCATAGTGGCATGAGGGCTCAACTCCCCTGTGGAAAATGAGCAAAATCTTTAGGCACCTGAGTTTCACTCTATGCTTTGCCCCAAATGTTCTCTTTAGAACGTCTCAAAGCACCACTGCTCAGAATCATAGAATTTTAGAGCTATAAGGGATGTTCTAGTCTGCTACCTCCTTTTCCTTGCCACCAAAATGTCCTTTTGAGCACAGAGATTCTGGATCTCTCTGTGACAACTGGGTATAATCCTAGACCTACCTGAACCTAGAAATCTAGGTCATGTATGTGGGGGGTGGAGAAATTGTGATTCTAGGTCCCTGGGGGAAGTTTTTAGTCTCTTGTTCTGCCAGAGACCCCTCAGCAGGGCCAGCTGGGCTGGGATAGAGACAATCAGCTGTGTATCCAGATGTGAACAGCTGCCTGAAAAGTCAAGCTGTGAACTGAAACCTTCTGGCCGGGGCCTTGAGCTCTTGGCTCAGGACCCATCGGTTCCTCTGGGGGAAGGAGAGAATCAAAGACACAGATGAAACAGCATTCCAGTCCCTGACGGACAGCTTGCAGTTCAGCTAACATTTACCAACCTGGTGCCTGCTGTGTGCAAGGTGGTATGGAATGAGCAGGTGGGCTTCTTCTCAGGATGATGTACTGATTTCCCTTCAGGACTGTGGTCCAGCCCCTCACACTTACACACACACACACACACACACACACACACACACACACATACACACATGACTTAGATTTCTAGGTTCAGTTGGTGCTAGGATCATACTCAGTTGCCACAGATACCCAGAATCTCTGCACTCAAAAAAGCCTGAAGAGCACATTTAGGGACAACGGGAAGGAGGTAGCAGCCTAGAAAATCTCTTATAGCTCTAAAATTCTGTGATTATGAGCAGTGGTGCTTTGAGATCCTCAGGTAAAGAGAACATGTATGTCATGCCTCTGTGGAATGAGCAAAGGGAGAAGCTGAGATGATTCCTTGAAGAGAAGGTATTTCAGGGCCCTTCACTACTATGTCTCATAAAACCCTAGCATTTCTGTAATGCTTTAATGTCTATAAAGCCTTTTACGTATTTTTATATCATTTGAGCCTCTCAACAACCCTGAGAGGTAGGTGCTGTTCTTATCCCCATTTAACAGATGAGGAAACTGAGGCTGAGATAAGTCTTCTAGAGTCCAAGTACAACACTACCCACTGTGCTGCCTAAGAATACTAGGTTTCTAGAAGCCAAATTTAGTTCATTATAGGAGGAAGAGTTTCAGGAGGAGCAGACATGACCTTTCTAGTGTCTAGCTCTTCCCATTCCCCCTAGACTGGCACCAGGGAGCACTGTTGGAAGAGAAGACTGTGGGCACCCACTCTGGATCCAGGAGTGACTACTGTGATCTCTGGAAATATGCTCCCTGTAGGGTAGGCTGAGCTGGCACTCCCTGGGCCTAGTGCCAAGTAGAGGAAGACAGAAGCCAAGGCCTTAGGCACCTGTCACAGAGGGTGAACCTCCTTCTTTGTCCTATCTCTGCTTCAGAAGCCAGTGAGAGAATTCTTCACCTTGAAAGAAATGTAGTTGTGTGCCAGCTTCTTCTGGCAAGGAGGAAGTGGTTGGTGGGTGTAGGGTCCTTTTTTCAGCAAGTGGGCTTGAAGATAGACATTTCTCAGGAGCCAGAAGGGAGGAAGACACCCAGAAAGTGGGAAGTGGGGAAAAAGGTATCCAAGCATTCCTTCCTCTTTCAATTCACAATGAAGTATTAGCTAGTCCATAGATAGAGGAACTGGCGAAGATGGCCTTGGCACATCCTTTAAGCCTACTTGGGGTGCTTTCCTCCAGCCCCTTTCTTCCCCCTACCTCATGTCTTTCTCCTCCTTATCTCTTTCTCTCCTCTATCTCTTTTCCTCCTTATCTCTTTCTCTTTCCCCCTTATCTCTTTCTCCCCTATCACTTTCTTTCTTCCCTCATCTCTTTCTCCTCCCCCTCTCTTTCTCCTCCTCATCTCTTTCTCCCCCCATCTCTCTCTCCTCTGCTATCTGTCTCTCCCCTGCCACCTTTCTCTGCCTCAACTTTCTTACCCCATCTTTCTCCATCTTTCCCTCCCCTCTCTTCCCCTTTCCCTCTTTCCTTCTCTCTCTCTCTTCCCCCAACATCTCTTCCCCCACCCCATCACTTTCTCTCCCCATTTCTCTCTCCCCCACATTCTTTTTCCTCTTCCTCTATCTCTTTCTCCCCTTTTCTCCCTTTCTCTTCTCTCTCCCCCATCCATGTAGTTACTCTGGCTTGAGGAGCTGAGTCACTGATGGGGAGAGGGCAGTGTGGGGGAGGTGGGAGGTGAGGGTGGAGGAGGCC